CCCGTATCAGCCGTTATCTATTTAGGCTTGCTCAGGCTATCGCTTGTTTGCCCGGGGAGCCCAGTTACGCTTTCGTGTTCTCGAAAAGCAGGAATTCGTGGCGCGACACACTGGCCATCGCTCTCCTGTGGTATTTAAAACTCTCCACGGACTGGCCGTCTGATTTCTCAACGACGCACGAACCCCAACAGCGGAGGAATTCTCTCTCTCTGCTTCCTAGTCGCTGCGTTTGCGAAACGCCTCCGGTTTTCACGACGAAGTCTCGACCACGCGCAATTCGACACTCAAACACCGCTTGCGATGTTGTTTCGACTTCGAGACGCCTCTGAACGATTTAAACGGGGCCACGTTTCCGCGTTTCGACCGACCAGTTGGTTAACCCTTTCGAACCTCGACAATTTTTCCTTCACGGTCGTTTCACAGTCGATATTCCCAAAAATTGACAAGGGTATTACTATTTCAAGAATGGTTTTCCTCGATTTTCGTTTCAGAGTCGATACTTCCAAAAATTCAGGAGGGTGTCTGTGCTATTTCAAAAATGATTTTCAAGTCTGAACAATTTTTCCTCGATTTTCACATTTGAAAGTTGATATTTCAAAAATTGAAAAAGATGTTTGTACGGTTTAAAAAATTATATTACTTTCTAATATCGTATTTAATTTTCTTTTTTCTTGGTTAAGAGTGAGCGAGTGCCAGTGCTCATTCGGGTACCTTTTTTTTATAATCCTCCAGTCTATTTTCGAAGTTTTCTCTTTTTAATTACTGTACTTCCCAAGCTACACATATCGAAGTAGCAATAAAGAAAAATTAAGAAAACTGATTATTATCTAGAAAAAAAAAAAAATTGCCAGCTAGATTCACGCATCAGCTACTTTTGAATAATAATAGAAGGCAATAAAACGTATTAAAATAATGCGACTCCGAAAAAGAACAGACACGTCAACGCCACATAAATTTCACGCTTCCAACTGTGCTCTGATAAATCAGATTGGTTTCGTACAAGGTTTTGTAAAATCTCATCTCTAAGGGACTCGTCTCGACGTTTTAATCCAAAGTGACGCGAATTCCAAAGACTATTTTTCAACCAAATACCTAACACCTTCCACATCTGACATACCGATCCATGAAATCGATGAAATTACGCTTTTACAATCGGTTTTTTCTTCTTTTTCTTCGATTCGAATACCGTCATTTGTTTATTTCAATTTCGTCAATTTTCTGAATCATTATTTAGCACTGACAACGGCACAATCGGGAAAATATAAATTTTACAGGAAAAGCAGTGTAACATTCGCATTCATTCGACGATGGAATACTGTTCGCGTAATCTGATCTGCTTTCTGGTGCGAAACTAGATAGAGATGTGTCATTTTACGTGATAAAAATATTACATCTATGCAGTCTACGCGAAAAACGTTAAAATTGACATTTCTCTACGTTACGTGTTATTTTTTAATTACGTTTCTGCGTTATTTCGTGATGCGCCGTCGACAGCAAGTGGTGTTATCGTAAAAATTTTTCTCGATCTCGTTCTTTTCTCTCTCGGAAATCTAGTCGAAGTAAAAGCTGGCGAAATTTAAATGTCTTGCGACAATCGGAATTTTTTAAAAACCTCGAGAATGCTGATGTTTATCGATGAAATAACTGTGTCACCGAAATCCTTTCGATAGCGCCGATTTTTACCTGATAACGAACAGCGCGTTCGTATTCTGATTTGAATTGACAACACATCAATGGCCCGATTAGATAGTAAATAAAGAATGACCTGATTATTATTTGCTCAATTTTTTCAGTACCCAGTGCAAATCTGCGAATTTAATTTATCAACTGTGATAATTGCAGAAATTTACTTTTTATCTACTCTTATGATAAGATTGATTTTGAAATGTAGAAAACATTTCATTTCAATTGTGATACATTTGTATCGTCATACTGAAACTTTTATCTCAATCTTTCTACGATTCTCGAGATTCCTTCAGAAATTTTCTACTATTAATTTTACAAAATGCGTCGATGTATCTATCAAAAAATTAGAGAAGTTTCTGAAAACATTAAACGTGTAAATTTACGAGTTCACTCGAAAATTGCAGAACTTTAATTTGCTCTCCTTCGATAGGATTAATTTGAAAAACTGAAATTAAGAATCTAAGAAAATGTTCAATTTTAACTGTGAAGCTTTCACTTCAATCTTGATATAAATATCGCGTCTAACTACAATTTTACAAAGTATATCAATACACTTTCATAAAATTAGAGAAGTTCCTAAAGAAAACATTCAAAGTGCAGATTTACGAGTTTACCCGAAAATTGCAGAACTTTAATTTGCACTCCTTTGATAAAAATCTAAAATTAAGAATCTAAGAAAATGTTCAATTTTAACCGTGAAGCTTTCGTTTCAATCTTGCTACAAATCTCGAGTCTTTATTCCCAAGAATTTCTAATTACAATTTTACAAAATACATTAATGAATTAAAAAAAAAAAAGAAACAAAAACAAATTGCAGCAATCTCAAACCGACTGCAAAGAACCAGCAAACAATGAAATAAAAAAAAGAATAAATCCGACAAGGATTGTAACAGTCTGACACTGCAAAGAATGAAATAAACAACGAACTGCTCCACCACGTTTGCCGGTAATCTTACATTCCATGAATGTGAAAGAAGCCCAATGAGAGAGATCTCGTAACGTTGCACGCGTTCACATCGAAAAACAAGCTAAACACGCGTAACGCTGGTTCGCGCGGTGATCGATAAGAGACTATCGACAGGACAGGTTATCAGTGGCCGGAGAATTCGGCCATTTAACGGTCCCGTTGTGGGACAACTGAAAAATAGACGCGTTTAGATTCCGATAGTGTGTTCCATTTCAACCGTTTTGCCAAATGTTTCCGAGCGAGGGAGAAGTGTACCGTAAATTTCTCCTATGAAAGTTTCATATGGCATTAACATATAGGCGTGCGAATCGATATCGAAGGGCGATACATTTTAAACGAGAAAGGTAAAATTCAAGGCAGCTTGCACTGCTCTCACCGTGTGCCTGACTCAGCTGACAAATTGTTTTCGACCGCGGAACAGAAATAACAAGATTGAACGCAAAAATAGACGTACACTTCTATTGTCAATTAACGAGACTTTGAAATGTTGAAATAAAAATTGCACTGTGCGGCACATATCAAATGTATTTTGTTAACTAGAAAAGTGTTTTTTTGGAAATTTGAATTTTTGCCTTTCTCAGGATTTTTCATGTCCACTTTTCAATTGCAGGGAAAAATTATTTTGTTAATAAAGAAGATTTTGGTAACTAAGGAATTGTTTTCTTGAAATTTTAATTTTTGCCTCTTGCAAGATTTTTATATCCAGTTTTCAATTGCGGAAGAAAATTGCGAGAAAAACGAATCTTTGGATGAGAATAAAAATACCTTGTTACTAGATTGCGAGAAGATTTAATAGTTAAATTCCTTGGAAAATTTCTAGTCAATATTCTTCAACAGAATCCTAACGGAGCATCCACCGAATGCGTAGAATTTTATTAAGATTGTCGAAACGAGTGAATCTCGAAAAATGAAGATTTCACCGAAAAGTGCAGAAATAGAATTTCGATGAAAATCGAAAGAAACGAGAAAAAAAGGGAAAAAATTCTGTAGCTTTTGAACGGAATTCTACGAAAGCTCCAAGAGATCTTTCTACGATTCGACAAAAGAAAGCCGAACCCCGCTCGTTATCGTCAATTTATCGCACGGGGATCTTTTTCTATAGATAGAAAAGGTGGAAGGTGTATCAGCCATGTGACTCTGCACCAAAAATCTACTCACGATACTCCACTATACTACCTGAGGACTTATCGTGTAAGGAGCTGCAATTAGCGATAAGCCCGGTGTGTTTCATTAACGCACAGTATTTTATCAGCAGAAGGTGATAGTGTTTACTAACAGGATTTTCCTTATTTCTGCTATCGCCAATAGGAAAAGGAATATCGCGGGCCTCGACGACGTTTTCAGTACAGTTAGAAAGTGTAAAGTAGAATAGCAAACATTCTCTCTTCGTTTCCTTGTTTATTCGTTTCACGCGACAATCTCAAGTTGTATTATTGCACTTGCTATCACAGCTCTACGATATTCTTTTTATTTCTGGTATTACAAACAGGCGAAAACTTTGGAGCAGTTTTTCATTTGCTTGCCTAATTTTTCAGAAAAATGATTTTTAACGTGAAATTAAAAATATATTACGTTAATAATGCATTAATAATGGTTTACGTTGAACGAGTTCAGTGCAATGTTCAGCTGGTAATCTTCATACTTTGTTTTATGAAATAACACGAATACTACACTTGCAATTTAATACATAAACCTAAACATCCAAGCACGTTTCATTCCCATTCACAAAGTTTACTGATTTCTGCACTGCAGTATGTAACATAATTTACATTAACAGTTCGATCACACACAGGATGTGTCTCATACACCGTAATCAACAGTGGTACTTTTACGTTCATCACATTATCCTACATTTTTTACTTATTTTTTTGTAAAAAAGAAAACTACCTTTCTGTCGGTCGCGCTACAATTTACCAGACACCGTGTATATCTTTCACGCGAACCTTCCAAACTCTCCGCTTCAAATGTTCACCTTCCAACAATATCAAGCGCCACCCAAAAAATTTATAGTGATATTTCCAAGAACCACGTTTATCGAGTAACCTTTCGTCGATTGTACCACGATTTACAGGACACCCTGTATATCTCTCACCTTCCAACAGCACACCGTTCGTCGAACAGTTCTACCTCCAAATTTATCCACTTCCACGCAAAATGAATCATCGACATTTCCAATCAGCGATTAAATTATAAACCACCCGTCAATCTTTAACCGTTTGAACAAAGAAAAAAAAAGAAGAAAAAAAAATGATCCTCCTTAAGGAGGACGTGGCCGGCCACCAGGGTTCAGCGAACAACAATAAGCAGGAACAAAAGCAGTGGAGTGTCTGGTTCTATGAACACTTACCCATAAGTCATCCATGGTGATGGAGTTGTCTGTGTAGAAAACAAGCACCTCCGCCGTGAGCGGCGATGGTTCTCGCAATTTCGAGGCGAGAAGCAGGCAGGCAGTTCCTAGCAGCTGCAGCTGCGACTTCCTGATCGGGCAGATCGAGAGGAACCTGTCGACGTAGTTCATCGACAGGGGAAAGACCTCGTCCTGGCACTTCTGCTCCTCGCATACCTGTCACCGATCATCAACCAACAGATTAGAATCGTGTCTTTGCCTCGTCGACCCATCAACCGTGTGGACCGTTCGAACAAAAGGCGAAGGGGTTGCTTTAAACAATTTGTCCCTTTTTGCGGTATTTTCACAGCTCGACGACGAGACGTGGACGACGACGACGCCTGGTAATCCCGGGAAGGTATCGATACCTGCACGTGAATTAGATGGAACGCGGGGTACAGTTATGCCGAAGGTGAGCAGAGGTTCGTTTTAGTGGCATGCTGTGAAGGGGAGCTTGGCTTGATGGGGTTTAATAGACGTACAACGTGGACCAAAAGTTTGGAACCACTGGGCGCGTTGGCGAAAGCTAGGCAAGAATTTTGCAGAAAGATGTTGGCGATTTTTATTTTTCAACCACAGACGCGTACGTAGGTGTGTGTGTTTAAGACATTTTATTTATAAAATTACCATGTTATACAAAATTGAGATATCTAATCATTTTATTTTATGATGTATTTGTGGAAATCGCGAAGAAAATTGCAAAGGTCACTGTATACAACTTTTCTATCTGAGCTCGTAACGAAAATTTAAAAAATACGTTTTGTAGATCTGTGTCAATTATACAGATGCTGAAAATTTCATCGAAATCGGTTACTGTCGCTATGAGTTACAAACGGTTAAAGATTGTGAAAATCGCACCATTTCACTGAGGATTCTTACATCTTTCGATGCCTGCCGCTTGTTCCTCCATCAACCGATTTCGACGAAATTTTCAGCATGTGTATAATTCACATAGATCTACAAAACGTAGTTATTAAATTTTCGTTAAAAGCTCAGACAAAAACAGTTGTAAACAGTGACCTTTGCAATTTTCTTCGCGATTTCCACAAATTGCAATTTTTGTCATCTAGTGAACTAATCCTAACTTCTCAAAACAACTCGTTTGGCCCAATTTTAAGAACAGGTATTACGTTTTATAGGGTGTACGAATACTTTTTACATTCACTGTAGTTAAAGCTAGAGCTGCTGGAATTCTTTACTAGGTCGCAACAGTGAAATGAAAATTCAGACTTATTTTTGAGACGAGTGTGGTTTGTTAGTTTTTCTAGTCTAACTTGCAGAAACGAAGCAGACTGACATTGAACCCAGCAGGATTAATTGAAAATGTGTGAAAAGTTGGAACTGCAAAATTAATTCGGAATTTGTAAAAAGTTTGCAAAAGAAATTCATAGAAAAATTGGCGACAGATTCGATATTGGTGTCAACTGACAAGTGGTCTGAGACTTTTGGCTGGTAGTGTACGAGAGGGCTTTGGAGACACGAATTAAGGATATCTATTATGGCTGATTATTCTATTACACCTTTCTGTTATTCTGTCTATTCAGCTTTCGTCCTGTTAGCGGTAGAATTTACGGATTTGTAGGTATACTTTTTGTCTCCCGATGATTAGTGTAGAGAATTATCGAAACAGGTAGCCAGATCGTAAAACAAGGATCGTTTATGCTACTTGAAGAAATACCCTCAATTTATTCTCGATATAGAATAGCTCTTTGTCCTTTGGCAAAGTTTACAGAGTTTACAACGCAAATCGGTTTATTCATTAATATCGTATAACGAAACGAAACAATGTAACATTTCTTTGCGAAAAGTATATCGAACCTATAACTTCAATTCTATTTTACTTCGAGAAGATTAAAAATAAGAATAAGCTGAATCTATTGAAAATTCTACCTGAAATACAGCTTTTTCAATTTGTTATACAGTGTGCAAGAGAAGTTCCAGGACTCGGATTACAGAAATATTTGATTTTAAGTACTGACATTTCTTTCTTTTTTCTCATTTTTCACATTTTAGACGTTTGACTAAAGGCAAGACTAGGCAAGGTTTGACTAGGCAAGATTGCGAAATTATAAATCTTGCTTCGATTCCACGGCGATAAATTATGAAATTTGTTAAACAGTGGTTATTTGCATTCGAAGGTAAAATCTCGTAAGATCGAGAAAACTTGTACACCGTGTTAATATCGTTGATTACGCGGAATACGACGAAACAAGAGTGAAACGTAGAGAAAGAGAAAAAGAGCGAGCACGTCGGACCGGATTTCCTCTCTTCGTATTTTAACATCGTGGCTTTGGCTAATCGATCACCCTAGGGCACAGGTCGGGGACCTCGGTTTTTGTTTTCAAAGCGTCCTCGAAGAGAAGATACAATCGACAGAGTCGATGCTGAGGAAGAGTACAGCGAGCTTTCGACGTGGAACGAAATTCCAGTTCGACGGGTCGAAATAATTGTTCACTAAGCGGTCGTTTCGTTTAAAGTTCGATGAGAATAAATAGGAAACGGTTTCAACCAGTTTTCGTCGCAGATAAGAGTAACTCTTTCAAAGCAGCATGGTGAATGTCGTTTTGTTCGTTCATTTATCAGATATGATGTCAGTTTCGTTAACGAAATGGTAATAAATTATTGTTCCTTTTGGACGAAATGAAAATTTGCTAAACGATCAAAATCGCTGTGAATTCAGAAAGGAATTGTTAAGGTAAACTTTGCCCCTTTTAACTCTATGGAGAAGGAGGAGCCAAAAATGTAAATAAAGTTTCAAACTTCAATTTTCTTCGTGAAATAATTAGCATAATCTAGTTTTGTGTTAGAGAGCACAGATAATCGAACAGGAAAAATCGATTAACAATTAGCGGCTAAGAAAAATTGAAAAATAAAAATATTAATAAATTTCTGTTCAATATTAATATTAGGAAAATATTTCAAAACAGAGTTACTCGATTATCCAAACAGCGTATGTCGCAATTAGCTCAAATAATCAAAATTCTACAATAAAAACAGCGACTGAAGAAAATCGCTAAATTTCTGTTCAATATTGATATTGACAAAATATTTCAAAGCAGAATTATTCAATTAGCTGAAACAATCAAATTAGATATCCTGCTTATTTGTCTCAATCGAGATTCAATTAAACCTTCCAACAGCTTCATCTTCTTCCAGCTATAAGTGCTATTAAATTCCAACAAACATTCCAGCAACCTATCCACAACCATAAACCACATTTCCCCAGGTAATTACAAGCTTTCACCAGGACACAAATTCATAACCCCTGCCTGTCGATCTAATTCTCAATCAACAGGCGGCTTCGCTCCCAATAACCGGTTTATCAATATCCTAAACACTCCAAGGTCCCCAATGTAAACATTTTCGGGACTGTTCGTGTTGCACGTGGCTCACGTGGAACGAAACGCCGTCGTTTGACTTCCGGAACGGAGAGGGCTGACCGAAATTTTCCATTGTGATTCACAGAAATCCCACCAGTTGCTTTTTCTACCGGCTAAAGTGCAGCCGTACGAATCGGCCAGCGGCGACTTATTGAGCGTGACCGACGTTTCTACCCTTTACCAACACCCCACACCCTAATTGCTCCGTGACGCGTATACCACGACCAATTAGTACCGGCGACTTAACGAAATAATTGTCCGCGCCCTCTCTCTATCATCGATTAAACGCCACGTTAGGGGGGTGCATGCGTTAAAGATGGAGCGGACGGTGAAATTTCTGCGGTGCATACTTTTAACGGCTTCGAGGTGAATCGGGAGAAACATTTTGGAAGTAAAGGGGTGATGTGTTTTTGCCATAGGAAGAAATTATGCATGCGGGTGATCTTTAAATTGAGAATTCATTGCGAAGGATTATCGGGAATTTTGTGAATACGAATCGAAATTAGCGTGTGAATTTTGAAATGAAAATTATTGCTAAAGGATTACCGAAAATTTGGAAGTTTTGTGCTTTTTAAAATGAAAATCAATTGCAAAAGGACTCTTAAAAATTTGGAAATTTAATGGATATAAAGTGAATAATCGTATAAATAATTGCATTGGGAGAGATTCGAGGAAGTTGCCATTTAGTGAAAACAGGCTACTCCAAGGAAGAAATCTTTATTCGCGTTTAAAAGAATTTCGAAAAATTAGAACAAAGGTGGAAAACTGGAATTAACTGAAATGAACAAAAAATATAAATTTCATCGCTAATTCTTCAAATAAAGAAAATCCTTGCAAGTGGTTTTCTTCTTTCTTTCAACTAATTTCACGATAAACATTCTCAAGTACATCGAAACAATTTATCCCTGGAAATATCATTTCTCAGAGTATTTCGTATAACTTACGACCGAGCCTTAGAATGCAAAATCCACGGAACGTGAATCCTTTTCTCTACTTCTCTACTTCAAGTTAACGAGACAGAGCCCCGTTGAATTACATTGGACGCTGAAAGACGGACTGAAAATCTTCGCATCGAGTAAAAACTGCACTCTTATCTGGAAAATAAGAAATATCTGGAAAATTAACGGAGATTCTAGAAATTCCAACAACTGAACTTCGATGCGATTAACCGACAATTATATCAAACACAGTACTTCTTTAATCTGGGAACAAATTTCCTTTACTCTCTCTTTAATAAGCTCCTCTATTAAAAATTACTACTACCTCTAAGGAAACATTTCTAAGCTTCTCTTATCACCTTCTGCCTGATTACTCAACAAGTGAATTTTCATGAAATTAATTGACAATTAAATGAAACACCAAAGAAACACCAAATTAAATTAAAAATCGTGTTCCTTCGTATTGTACTAAACCATTCTTTACTCTCTCTTCAATAAGCTCCCCTATTAAGAATTATCATTATCTTCCTGTATCTAAACAAGCATTTCTCACATTTTCTTATCACTTTCCGCCCAATTATTTCTGAAACAGTGTTTCCGAAAATTTTCCACGATATTTCTCTCAAAAGCACCGAGGTTTTCACGTGGTCCTTTCCACGAATCGACCCCGCCTAGCTGTACCTTCTAAGGGTGGCGATTTATGGCGTCGTTTCTGTACATTTAAGACACACAGTGTGTGGCACAGATGCGTTTCACTTTGCTGCACGTACCGCTATTCGAATTTTAATCCGTGGAAAAATACACACTCGATACCTACGAACTAAAAATTCAGACCTACCTAAATTAACTTAATATTGAT